TAAATCTTTATATTAAAATACTTGTTTCGAGCGTGGTTTTGATAAATCATTCATTTTTTATATTTTCTTTATTTATTTTTTATATATTATTTTAGTATCAAATAAAAAGGATACAAGATTAATCAATTAAAAATATAAAATATATATTTAATGTTATTCAATGATACAATACTAATATTATTTGTAGAATATCCCAATCATCAATATTAAAATGATCAGAATTACCATGTTATCATTTATTTACATTAACATTCTTTCTCATTTTCATGTTCACTATATAAATATGTCAAGATTTTTCTCATCATTTTATCACTTAACTAAATAATAAAACAATATTTGAAACAAAACGAGACATAATCATCTCAGGTATTATACTATCATTTTACTAGATTTTTTTGACATTTTTATCCATTCATCAAGATTATTTAACATTCTAACGTTTGTTTTCTATTCTTTATTTATCTACTAAAACGACAAGAAAAATATTTTTTTTTTTCTAAAGTTTTGAATTATTAATTGTGTTGATAATCTTCTGATAGTTTTATTTATGCTGACAAACAAAAACCATCTGATTATGAATCAATAAAAAATGGTACTAAAAAAGAACTTTTTCATGAGTAAATAAAGAAGTTTTTCCTCTCTACAATCGTATGTAGAGCTTTTTTTTTTGACATCTGTTCATTTATCCTTAGATTGAACAAAAAAAAAAGGGGTGAAATATTGATAGCTATGTTTTTTTTGATAAACACTTTCCAAATGAAATATATTTGATTAATCGATAGGAAACTTGTTCTTCTTTCGAACATTATATTATTCATGTTTGTGATATATTCGTCAATAAAATGAGATTCGAATTGGAAAAAATAAAAACACTCGCGCAATAAAATAGTTACTATTCTATGAACCTATCAAAAACATATGTGTGAAACAGTAGTTGAATCTGATTTACTGTTGTACGATACCATGTTTTGATAGATTCATAGAATAATCACTATTTTATTGTGCGAGTGTTTTTCTTTTTTCCAACCCCAATCTCATTTTATTGAGAAGAAGTTTATGAAAAAAGCTATAGGGATCAACATTTCATACTTTTTTTTTTGTTCAATCTAAAGATAAATGAACAAGTATGAAAAAAAAACTATATATACGATTGTAGAGAGGAAAAAGTTCTCTTTCACCATCATTGTATTGAAATGCGTTGTGATGAGATGCTAAATAAAAAGCTGTAGTTGTAATATCTATTAAATTGAAATGTTTGTTTTAATTATAATAACTCAATTTGAATATATTGAATCATTAAATAGTTAAACAAATGTCATTGTGCTTTTGATGATCTTATTAGTCAATTATTCATTATAAATATAATAGATTTCCAATAGTTGATTTGAATTAAATATATATAATAGAAAATGAATAATTTAGAATATTTTCAATAAAATAAATCTGAATAAATTGATATATTAATAATTGATTGAGATAAAAAAAAAAGAATAATTTTATATAAAATGATTTATTTAAATAAGATTTTAAGTTAATTTTCAAAATAATTTCTATGAAAACTAAATCTATATAGTGAACATTTTATTAATGATTATCATCAATTTATTTTATTTTTCAATATTAATTTATAAAATAATTAATCTTCAATATTAATTGATGAGAAAAAATCTTATTATTTTAATAATAATTTATCATAAAATAAATGTTTACTTTTTCAACATATTAACGAAATTGAAAATAAAATTGATTTATTCAATAATAATATGATGAAAGAATAAACACAGACAAATGACGTCAAGAAAATAATTTCATTATGCTTCAGTTAATTAAAATCTATTCAGTTGAAATATATTTTTCTTTTTCAATCTTTGAAAGGTCTTGTTAACCCTTTTAACTGTCGCCGACGTTTATATACGTCATGAACTTTATTTGTGTATAAAACTGGCACAATTAATCGTAATGCATGCTTCTTTAGATTTGTCTGCATAGAAATAAGCATCAGACAGCTGAACCTTGTGTGATACTATCATGTCATAATGGTATGCTCTATAAATCTGTAAAACTGGATCAAAATAAATAGCTGGTTGATTTTCGGTCGAGCTTGTTCCTCTCTTTTATGTCAACGGTTAAAGGGTTAACATTCTGATTCAAAATGAGTTTAATTGCAATGATTTTCTGCTTGATTAATTATTTTTCTTTTATAAATAATCATTAAAATCGAATGAGCGATTTTGTTCTAGATATTGATTAATCTAGCAAAGATAATTATGGTAACTAAATTAAGTTTATTTAGAGAAAATTATTAATAATTATTTTCTTATATCGTTATATCATTATAATGAACTATGAAAATGAATGTTGTTATTTATTATATTGATTATATTGTTCAAAGACTTTAATAATCTAAGAAAAAATTTTATTTAATTAGTAAAATATTTAAATAGAATTCTATAAATGACTTATTCATTTCATTTTATTTTTTGATCAATTATTAAGATGAAAAAAAAAAATTTTTTTTTTTGAGGTTGTTTTGAATCATTATTTGACACATTAATGAACCTAATCACAATATGGTATTAAAAATACCATTGAAATTGAATAAATCTACTGTGTTTTAAAGAAAAGTGTCAAAATGAATAAATGATAATCAACAAGGAACATTATCGGTATGTCTTTGTCCTAGAACATTTATTTTAAAAAGTAAAAGACGTTAATCAAGCATAGAATTCTATGCTTTGATGGTAATTATATATTCATTGATTTGACAACTCGTTTTTTTATATAAATAAGAATCATATTCTATACTGTTTATCATTCGGTTTTTTTTGTCGTCTTAAACAATTCTTATTCAAATACAGAACTAATAAAAATGTCAAGTTCTGTATATTATCTATCAATTGTTCAACAAATTTTAACACGATATGGTATGAGTAGCTATGTTGCATTTGGAAATCTTGGTAATTTATTAACAATAGCTGTTTTTTGTCAAAGTGAACAACGTAAAAATCCTTGTTCATATTATTTATTATCAATGACAATATGTAATTTAATTTGTCTTAATGTTGGAATTCTTCCAATAATATATTCATTAGATCATATTGATATAAGTAGTAAATATCAAATTGTTTGTCAAATTCAATTTTATATTCGACATGCTTTTTTTCAAATAATGCGTACATATAAAGTTCTTGCATGTATTGATCGTTATGCTATTTGTAGTATTAATGTTCGCATTCGTTCATTTAGCAAACGTAAAGTGGCTATTTATTTAATAATAGGCTGTGCTTTATTTTGGTTAACAGCAGTTATATTTTTTGGTTGGGCACGAACAATTGAAAATGGTTCATGTAATATATATAATGATATTTATTCAATGATTTATACAATTTATTATATGATAACTGCTGGAATTCTTCCTCCATTATTAATAATAATATTTACTCTATTAGTTATGAAAAGTTTAAAACAATTACGAAGTCGTGTTCAACCAATAAGAGAAGATCGAGAAAATAAACAATCAATTAATATAGTTCAAAAACGTGATAGAGATTTAATAAATATGGTTTTTATTGAAGTTATGTTTTATGTTGTGAGCACAATGCCATTTTCAATTTATCTTATTTATAAAATGGTGACAGATGATTTAATAAAAAGTCGAGAACGAAAACAAATTGAATCATTTATTAATTATATTCTACAATCATTTATTATGTATTTAAATACAGCTTTACCATTTTATATTTATATTTCAACATCATCTTCATTTAGACGAGAATTGAAAAGAATTTTTATTAAATTTTATGCTTTTATTATGAGAAAAAAAATAAGATATGAAAATAATAATTCTACTCGAACAATGATTATATGTTAGTTATTTTGAACTATTTTTCTTCTCTTTATTCATTGATGTTTTAATTCATATTAATAATTTTTTCAATCACTATTAACTATAAACTTTTCAAAATAAATAATTAAAATCAATCAAAAACAATCATTCTTTTATATTTGGCGAAAAAGAATAAAAATTTAGATCAATCAAATTTAATTGTCTTATCGAAGATGGAATTGTCTTAATCTTTTTTTTTTTTTTTGAAAAAAATTTTCCTATTTTTTCAATAATATCTATCGATTGGATCTAACCTAATAGAAATTTTCAAGTTAATGTTAAAATAGATTTATCTCAATTGAATTTTGATCTTTCGAAATACTTAAATGATCATCAATTGATCGGATCATATTCTCTACTTTTCCAAATAGCAAAAGAAAACAAAAGAATATTAGATTAACCTTGTTTAGCATCATATCTTTAAGTGATTATGAGTTTTGTGACAACTTCCATAGGAATATAGAGACATTAAATTAGATTCTTAAACAATCAAGAGTTTCAATATGAAAATTGTTTTCTAATGAAATTTTTCTTCTTATATTCAAATATAAAAATAATATTCACAAGAAAAATTGATTACTAACATTTTCTTTTTGACTTTATAAATATCGTAAAAGTGTCGATTGTTTCTCTAATAGACATTCTAATAGCCTGTAAATGCAGGTAAATAATTTTCAGTATGATGAAAATCAATGAAACCATTTTATTATTCATTTATTCAAAGAAAAATAAAAATTTGTGAAATTTTCATAGACAGGAAGAATTCATTGAACAACAGAGAAAATTATTTTGTCTGAATAGGTGCATGAATCACAACACACTGCCTTGAGTTAAAACATGTTGCTTTTGTCATTCTAATGACCTTTGGTTTTTGAAATAGAGAACAGAAAATGATTTGTTTTTCCTTGGACAAATAATTATTTTTGCCTGATTATTTTCTTTCATCTATTTCATCGTTTGCTCTTGTCATAAACATTTTTCTTTTCTGTTTTTATCACTGTTAACTCTTTGATTTTCACATGCTTTTTGTTGTTTTCCTACTTAGTTTATTGTTATCGATAATATAAAAAAACATGTTTGTTTTTTTTTATTATTCTATTTCAAAAGAATTAAAATGTCTAAAGAACAAGATCATAGTGTGAAAGAAATAGTACGTGATTTATGTACCTTTAATCCAGCATCATCATCTGAAAGTGCTCGTTTACCACATGATTTTTATATGATATTCATTGGTCGTTTAACAACTCGTGAACATTTACAAAAGTTGACAAGAACTGTTGATTCACGAGATAATTCAAGAGAACATGCGGGAGCAACAAAATCATCACTTACGATGATGGAGACAGAAGAAATAGAATTTTATTTGGAATATATTACATTAGAAAATAATATAAATAGTGAAAATGTTTTCTAATCATAACAGTCATTTGGTCTATGAAGATTATTTTAATCCTTTTTTATTTGATGTGGTCAGAAGAAAATCATCTTATGAAAAATTAAAACAAGTTTGTCGTTTCTATGAAACAAAGGAAGGAGTTAATGTTGATAATATAATGACTGAACATGAAAAAAGAACTGCATTATCAACACTTTGTTTTACTAAAAAAAAAGGTTTATCAATCGATGATGCTCAAGCAGCAGCCTTAGTTTTATCATTTTATACAGGTACAAAAAGTGAAGCAGTTAGTCGTGGTACTAGTCTTGTAGCTCGTCAAGTTAATGAACAAGTTGTTGAAACTAAAACAAAAGATGAAATGAATGAAACTGCTGTTATACTCTTTTATTTAGTAAAAGCTCTTTCATATATTCGTTATTATTGAGGTTATGTTACACGTGCTTGTACATTAACTGATAATGAATTACAATTATATATGCCTGGTTGTTTAATCACATGGATTCAATTTAGTAGTTCAAAAAAAAAAAGGAAAATAAGTTGCTACTAATTTCGATTGTGCTTATCGTAATACTTATTTCAAAATCTATTCATTAACTGGCCGTCCAATAAAACAATTTTCAAATTATGAAGAAGAAGATGAAGTTTTATTTTTACCTCATTCAACATTTTTTTTGTTTTTAAGCATGAAGTTTGTTATCATGAAAATCAACATATCATTTATATGAGACAAGTTGAATTAGATCTTTCGAAATGGTCAGTTTTATGGGTTGATAATAATATATTTGATAAAAATTGGGAAAATAAACAACATATGGAAACAGCAGCAGCTAAAGCACTTAATCTTAATGTTCATTTTATTCCAAAATCAACAACAAATAGTGTTTTGTCATTTCTTCGATCATCTTTTGGACAACGCTTAAAAAATCAAGATACATTTCGAATTGTAACAGATATGACACGTTATATAATGAAAAGTCTGCTCATAATGCAGGTGCACGTTTAATTAAAAACTTACGACAAATCGGTTTTACAAATCAATGTTTTGTTTTTATAAGAAATAAAGATAATGTAGAAAAACTTATTAATTCAGAACTGAATTCATTTGAACGACGATCTATTCAAATAACAACTCAAACAGATAATTTAAGAAAATTTGTCAATTTTGAACAATAAACATTATTCTTCTATATTCTTTTTGTTCTTATTCTTATTTTGTTGAAAAAAATTGAAAGAATTCAATTTTTATACCGAAAAAAATTAAAAAATTTTATTAAAACTAAGAATAAAAAATTTTCTTTTGAAGTGTCCATTTAGTTGAAATTAGCATTAAAAAAACAAATCGTTATCCGCGTCAACACCTACGCTCAAATCACTCGCATAAATCTTCTCTTCAACATGATACAATGAATTCGAGTAATCAAGATTAAGTTTATTTGAAATAGTATCGATATCAATAGTACTTCACCATACGTCATATGGAGTCTTGGCGTTATTTTGAGCTTTTTAAAAAATGAATTTCTCTCAAATACATAATTATACTTTAAATCTTCATAATTTTATATTGATGATTGATTTTATTTAAATCAACTTCAATAAAGAAGATCAATAAGACAAGCAATGAAATTAAATTAAAATATCATCTTTCGAACAGCAATATAGATTGATCGGTTATGTTATTCTGAATATGTTCTATATTTAAATTGTTAATATTATTATTTGATGATTGTAATAGAAGAATAGTTGATTACTTGTTGAAACATATAGATTCGATATTCAGTCGATGAAGAATTGTTTTAAAAGTGGAACGGCTTCTCCATAGTCACATATCTGACTGCAGATATTCGTTTTCATTCGTAGGAATTTAAAATTGATTGTAAATAAGTAATAACAATCGATTGTTTTTCCAATGAATATGATAGAGAATTTAATTTCTGTGCATCATTTATAAATGTTTTGAACTAATCAGTTAGCTTTTATCAAATACGATTAATCGAACTCCATCTACTATTCTGTGAGTTCATCATTTTTCCTGTTTTCTGAATTGTCTCATATATACAATCCTAATTTGTTAATCAGTAAAGACTTCATATAATTCGATCATTAGTGAATAAGAAAAAATTGATAGTCGAATATAATTTTTTTTTTTAGATTTCGAACTTGATAATCTGTTTGCATATTGAGAAGTAAGCTCTTAATAAACAGTTTTTTTAAACTCACAGGTGACGCCAGATGATGTATGTCAATTTAGCTCTTTCATTAGCACAGTTGTAAGCATAGTTATCGTCATTCTTCGATGATATATCACCGATTGTTCGATTCACATTCAGTTTTTCTTGAAAAACGATATGCAGATTGGTTTGCAAAATTTGAATTACTTTACTGTTGGTTTTCTGTTAAATCATTGTGCAAATACGAAATCATCATGACTCGACTTTCTTTCGCTTAAGCCTTAATATTGGACTCAATAACAATAATCAATCATTTTCTCAGGCCATAAATATTTGTTGATAGAATATCCATTTTTCATTTTGCGTTGTGTAACCAGATAGGAAATTCAATTATCGTATATTCATCAGTGAAAAAAAGATCGACAATATCCTTCTAATGAAATATCTTATAGTTTTCTTGATTGGATGCTTCACTTCTTGTACGTAGTAGAGAGTATTCAAATCGAATATACAATGTGTTATTTTCATTTTAGGGTCTTGCCTCTGTATTGATGATCGTAGTGACTCTGGACCTAAATGGGACTCGTTTAAATCGACATGGGGTCCAAATCCTCTGAGTAAAAACTACTTTGTTGCCCAACCTCTCACTGTTATCGAAGCGAAAAAGGACGGTTTCGTTCAGATTTCCACTGAATGCAAAGGTGAGTGTTGTCGAATCTATATTTTAGTAGTTTTTCATATATTATTAAAGGACAATTTCTCGGACAACGCTTCATAAAAGACAATGATATTGCTTTGGTGTTGATCTATGATATAAAAGGTAGCATTGCTGGTGTACAATTAGCAGTAAGTTGTTTTGATTGTTCTTCTATGATTGCTTATTTATTTTAAAAGCTTCCTGTCTCCATGGCCAAAACAAAATATTATAAATTTGATACACAGAAAATGTATAATCGAGCTACAGTTGCAGGCATCGATTCTTATGTTTTGACAGCATATTTTGTCGATCCACAAACCATTTGTACATCAGGTCGAGATGAAGCCCGTCTTAAACTCGAGGGTTCAGGTAGTGGTCTTTGGCTACAAAATGGACCTGATCCTATTCGCGACTCAGTTCAATCACCATTGTATGAAAATACAGTCAATACAACGAAATGGGTATTGGGCTCATGTTTTCCATCGATGGGTAAATTCCATCATCTAGTTAAAAAAACCTGTTATTTCCATAGATTTCTCTTCAGGTGTTCATTATTGGTATGACAATCGACTCGACAATAAATGTGACGAAATCTTTCCTGTCTTTCTCTTGTATAACAAAGGCAAATTGACAGGATTCGGATGGGGTCTTGCCGGCAAATATGATTATTCAAAACGAACAGAATCTGTACCGTATGGAGCAGTTTCGGTTCGTATGACAAATATAGTTTTGAAGAAAATTTTTTATTTATTTTTATTATTAATTTTCAGAAGTTTATGAGAATCGTACCAACCTGCTTGGAAAAATTTTTCGAAGATATTGGTGGATTCACAGCTATGCATCATTACTTCAATACAGCTCCATGGAATCTGCTCTGTTAACGTTAAATTTATCTTATAAATCATTTATTTTTTAACATCAAAAGTGAATTTACATAAATAAATAAACTATATATCTGATGAGTTTTCATCGAATGACATCAATAGAACTGACTTTTAATTATCTTTATACTGAATATAGTAAGCTTTTGCAGCACTATATTCGAATTTTATAGATTTAATCAATATCTGATTCACTTTTTTCTAAAAGTTCTTCCCCAAAAGGTTCTTCTCGTTAAGAACTATTTATTTGTTGTGGTACAATCGAGATCGAGAATGAACAGGTACACAAGGGTGTGTGGGTGTGGGTGGGTGTGGAGTGTGGGTGGGCGGGTGTGGGTGTGGATGTCGGGGAGATGTGGGTGTGGCTGTGGGTGTGAGTTTTTATCTTCTCTTTCTCACACTCACACCCAGACCCAGACCCACACCACACAGCCACACCCCACACCCACACCCCACACCCACACCCACACCCACACCCACACCCACACCCACACCCACACCCACACCCGCACCCACACCGAA